ATATAGCCAGATAAAACTGCATCAAGAGAAGATATATTTAAAATATCCATGGTTGCAAAACAAATCTATACATATTAATATTTAAGTTAAGCCAACATTCAAGCAGGACAAAATGTTACATTACTAATTTGAAGTTTTATTTTTAAGTAAAAGAGTATTAGCATTTGCCTACACAGCAGCAACATGACATGGTATAAAAATCACATGCTTTGGAATCTGACATCCTTGAGTCCAATCTCATTTAATTATTGTTGTTGTTGTTATTATTATTAGATCCAATATAAGCTGAGTGACCTAATGGTAGTTAATGGACCTCTCTGATCCTCAGTTATCTGGTCTATAAAATGTATATTACAAGGCCTACCTTGTATGTGTGTTGCTGTGAGGATTAAATGAGGTCATGGTTACTAAAATGCCCTGCCACTGCCAGGACCCCAATAGGCACTCAAAACACCCCTTATTTTAGTGACTAATTGTCTTTTTTAGACAATCAGATTTTATAGATCTTCTCTTTAGACAATTACATTAATGACTAATTTTTGGCATAACAGTCTTCACAAATTCAGATGTGTTCTGAGTTTGGTCAACCAAAATACCAACCACGACACAACAGTAAGGAGACTGAAGCAAGAAAAACTCTAAGTTCTATTTCTGCAATATTTTTCTAATGACAATGTCCTAAAAATTCCGTGCATTTCCACCAAGAGTAAGAGACTTGAAAATGTTGAAGTAGAGATGACTGCTAGGACACATACGCTCTGACTTTGTCAGGTAACTAATAGGCTAAACGCATAGTCCCCAAACATAGCCGCTACTTCTCTTGCATATTGATGACTTGTAGTTTACAAAAAGAATATGTTCAGTCTGGGGAAAATGAGAAATAAAAAAAAACGTTCGGAGTCAGATAGACATGAGTTTCAAGCCTGACTTTATGACTTATCAATTTCTTCAGTTTATGCTCTTGAAAAAATGGGGATAATAATACCTCAAAAACTTTGAAGCATGATTCAGTGGGTTAAATACACATATAGCTTTGCATATATACAACCAATACATCATGAGTTCTCCATAACACACCACAGATTATCCATAAACCAAAGGAACAATAGTTTATTTTCTTGGAAATTATGTGAAAGAGACTGTATTTAAAAAGAAAGACAGTGAGACAATATGAACAGGCAACAGCTGGACCAGAAGACAGTCCAGCTATCTAATTTGTGCAGATCATTTACTTTTACTCATTCTCAGTTTCCAAATCTGTATAGTGGGGATAATGCTTTTTCATCCTGCTTGCCCCAAAGGGTTGACATGAAAGAGGAAAGTGCACTAGTGTCTGTGAAAGATCTTTTAAAACTATATGTATTGAATTTTCGTCCTCAGGCATGGTGAGGCAGACAAGCCTCCAGGCCAGAACAACGAAAACAAGCCAAACAAAATATTTTTTAAAAATATATTTGAAGACATCAGAGAGTTACCAAGGAAGTGAAGGCTTCAGGAGCCAAGATCTAGGAGAGAAGAAAAACCCAGCAAAGCAAACCTGACATTTGATGCCCCTGCTTTCCCTTTACAGGCATTTACTGATCCTAAATCAGCAGCTGATAGGCCAAGGAGCTGAACAAAGCTTCTGGCCACCTCACAGGGTGGCGGGAACAGACTTTGGCATTGAGGGGCTGTCAAGGAAGGGGGCTCTGGTAAAATACCCTGGCTTCAACTGGGATCTTTAAAGAGCAAAACCCTATGAGTAAGAGTTGACAAGAAATAGACCAGACCTCAGGAAGCCCAGCTTCAAATCAGCCCAATAGCTGACTGTATTAATCTGTCCCTTACCCTAGCAGCCTGCTACAGCAAAAAAAAAAAAAAAAAAAAAAAAAATCTGTTCTTTTGGAAGGTGACAACACTGAAAACTTCAAATTCTAAAACCTTTTATACATAATGTTTGGCATTTGAACAAGCATAATTAGGCAAGAAAAAGCACAAGAAGAAAACAGAAAAAACAAGACAATTTAAAAATCCACAAGATATGTTGATACTGGGAGTTCGACAAAAATCCAAAAAAATTTTTTAGTTTAATTAGAAGAACATAAGCATACTGCTAAATCAGTTGCCTTAAAATACAGTGATTTTCTGAAAGAAAAAAAACTTGAAAATTTACTCTTAAAACAAACAGCCTCACACCTTGTCCACTTAAAAAGTTCAATGAATTTTTGAGCTGTGATGAGACTGAGAAGGATGGAGCAGAAAACCTCGGGAGTGTTCTTTTTCCCATGATGTCATAATTTTGTTGAAACATTTTTTTGGATTTTCTTGGACACAAAAATCACTGATTTTATTCCAAAATTTTAATCACTGGCCTATGCAATTTATTATTTATATTCTACATGAAACAGCAGATTCCACTTGGATTTTTACTATGTTTAATTTTTTAGAAGCACCATAAAATAGATCTTTTGCTAATAAAATACAACCCTTTTGACTGTAATGGACTAACATGATTATCTCTTCATCAAATACTCCATTAGTTCATTCATTAGATACTATTAGAGTCATCATTAGACCAGGAATGAATTTTTATCATCACAATTAAGTAAATTTGGTTTTGACCTAAGTACAGGAAAAAGAGACCATATTACGATTTTTAACTCTCAAGAAAGAAAGCAATACATGGGTAATAATGCAGGATATATTTTCAGCTTGATACAATTTTAAAGATAACTGTAGAATCAAGTAACTTAATGGAGAAACCAAGTTCATCTCAGATATGGCAATGATGTGGACGACAACATTTGGGGGGAAAAAGTATATCATCTAAGACCACTAAGAGTTTACAGAGTGGTTGAGTGCTTTACTCGCTGCCTGCCATTCTTTAGATGTCTTCTGTTAAATGTGAATATTTCACCCATTTATCTCTGTCACTGAAATTTATCAACAGCATTCAGTTTTTCGTTTTTATCTAGAGCTGAATTAACTCTATCCCTTCAAAATCAACTAGACTACAAGATGAGAGAACCAGAATTCTTTCATGAAAGAAAGGTTGGGAAAGAGGGAAGAAGAGACTCTATTCCAAAATAATTCAAACAAATAGAAGTAGGTCGGGAAATAGTAAGTGCTATTGGTAGATGACAGGTTTAGTGTGACATCCCTGTCCTGTAATTATTTACAATTAAAGAACGTGAGATTTCTCTCTGCTAGACCATAACTAGCAGAGTAATATTTAGTTGTCCTTAGAGAGATCTCATGGCTCCAAAGCCAGCAGGATCTAACTATAAATGGACTTTATTAACGTACCTGAAGAAGGAATATGTCCATGAAAGAGTCAGCTAAAGAAATGTTGAAAAAGGAGCCATTACTGGCAAATTTCAGCAACATTCAAATAAGCTAGTCCAGAAGGGTCTTGACTAAGCACATGGAAACATGATGGTTTTAGAACAAGACTGTCCTTATAGTGGGTCAGTGTCTCGGCTTCCTTACCAGCACAGAACTGCTTCAAATTTGTTCTGAGGTTCAGAGAAGTTAAGCAAATCACTCCAGGTTAGTTACTTGTCTCTTAAGCCAGGATTTAGAACCATGAGTCTGACTGACTGTCTGCCAACTGCCACGGGAAGTGTATGCCTTTAGGCTACTAATGCTCACTTCCCTCGGTTGATTCATTTATTTGAAAAGAATGAATACAGTTTAAATGCTATAATTTTTAAAGTCTGATAATTCACATAACTTGTTCTAAGGAAACTTCAATATATATACTAACAAAATTGTTATCATCTGTTGAAGATACATATGTAGCTCCAATCAAGCTGGGCCATTTTGCTCCTTCTTACCTGAAGATCCAAATCTGCACTAGGTAACATTAACAACAGACAGAATCTTTGAAAACCAATATGAATACTTTTGGAAGCTCTTGGAGAGGCAGCAAATAGAACTGGGTGGAGTCGGAGGGGGAAGGGAGGGGAGGAGTGTTCCTCTCCCAACACATTCTAAACCTATCTTCTTCAGATATCTGTCTCCTCAGAGTCCATTCATTGTAGCAGTTGCTCATTCATTTATTCATTCATTCAACAAATATTTATTGAGAATTTACTGTGTTCCAGGCACTCTGGCTATATTAGCAGTTCCCTCAATCTCTTTTCTGTCTCTGTCTGCCCACTTGTCTCCTAACCCATTCTTTAACCAACAAGACCTTTACACCAGTGCAGTTTCTTACCATTTCTAATATAGACCTACTTAGTCTCTTTGTCTTCTTCCAATTCCATTCTTTTTTTATTATCCTGATGAGCGCAGCAAAGGGCACTGAAGAGCCCATCAGGGCAAAGAGAATTCTCTTGAGAAGAGGGAAGGTGGGAAAGCTCTGGAAACTTAAAGCTTGTGTCTCCTGCACAAATAGTTTGCCTATGTTATGCTCTGCTAGCTTTCCAGGCATACTCCCTGCCATCTTCAAACCTCTTCCTTGAGTGATGAACATGTGAACAGACAACTAAAATTGGCTATAATTGGATATAACAGAACATGTTTTACTCTGCAACTTGGAACTCTTTACATGGCCTAATAGAGAAAGTAGGGCTAAAAATAATCATTTGAAGAGTATTGATTTTTTATGAGCTTTTGGATCATAACAGAGAATACTATTATAATACACGTTTAACTTTCTATAATTTTCATCAAACATTTCCTCACAAAATATTCTTGTAAATCTTACTATTTAGTTTAGATTTAGTATGACTTGAGAAATTCTGTTTCTTATTGGGGAAGTAAATGTTTGCCAAAGTAAGTAGATATTACAGTGTATCTCTTCATACTCACTAAGCATACCAAATTTTCATCAACTCACCTCTTATCAAATATCACTCTCCTTCCTTTCTACACTCCTCTTAAGTTTTATTTTAGTAGAATCTATCAACTGGTGTGATACGTCATCATGAAACATTTCAGGAGAAACTTCCCTTTGATTCTTTTTCGGTGACTGGAAGTGAAACCTTGCTGTGGTTGGATTTCCAAGACCAACTCACCTGTCAAACAGTTCTCCTCCTGTGACCAGTTCTAGGACGAGACTGATTTCTGTAGGGGTTTCAAATATCTCTTTAAGTTTTATCTGGGGAAAGATATTTAAAAAAATCACAGATTACTTATTTTCATCTTTCCAGGAAATAGCTAAAACTATGGTTAAAACAACATTCTCTGTATTAGTAATATGTTAGATCATTGTTAATAAAGATTCCTCATTCTAGTATCAGGCAGCCATTTGTCACTCTCCAGTTGTTTTTATCAGTTACCTCATTTCTTCAAAGGCCCTTTTGAGTTTTTTATATTTTTCCTTTTAACAATTGAAAGATACCTGCTTTAGAAACACTTCCTAAATTTTGCCAAAACATCCCAGTTTCTGAATTGCTCCAGAATTAAAAAACAAAAGCACACAAACAGAACTTCCTACACCATTTGAAAGCATCATGGTTGCTAGAGATGCAAATGTTTCTTTCTCTCCATAGGGGTCTAAGGCAGAACAGGACCAGGTTAAAGTGCGTCTGTATGGAAAGGATATCCCTCAACAGCTAAAAAATTGCTGATGGGTGAAGGGATCTTCAAAAAAACAGTGGTGGCAGTGATTTGCTTGACCATAACAGGGTTTTCATCACATTCTGATAGTTCATCCAATTTTGGATATTTTCCTCAATACATATCTAAGAATCTAGTGACCAGGACTGATCTACATTTGAGGGAAATTCCACATTGACTTAACTCTTTGAAAGAAAAAAGATGAATAATGTAAAAGTGGTGATTGTATGTGGCAAATTTTGTTAATTGCTTACCCAAAGCCCTTCTCCCTCCACTTTATCACAAACAGAATTCTGATTTTGTTTAGGGAAGCAAGGTGCCTAGCGTCAAATTATGGATCATGATGGGGCTCAGCCACTTATGATAACCCTGTTCCTCAATTTCTCAGTCTTCGTGCCATTAAGGATGATCTTGTGACCAGCTCTGGCCAATAAAATCTCAAGAGAATTCTGCTGCAGCTGGAAATTCTGAAAAAGCTTTTACTCTTCTCATCAGACTCTGCTGATAAGGCCTTTCCACATCTTTCTGTCTTGAATATAAACCTAAAGACTTGTGAAGACCTCAGAGTAGCCATTTTAGGACCATGAGGGGAAAACATGAGGATGAAAGCTAGTGCACTGAAGATGGCAGAACCAATGGATGGAAGGCATCTGGGTCCTGGAGGGCATCACTGAGGAGCTGAACCAATGTTAGCAACGGCCTGCCTTCTGATTTCTTATAACATAAGGCAAATATTTGTTTAGATCACCATATTCAAGTTTTCTGTTGTCTATAGTTGAATGCATTGCTAACTCAGAAATTAAGCACTTTGCCTGGAGCCTATGCACTGCAGATGATCCTACTGGATACCATAACTTTCTCACAGAAATGAGTAAAATATTTTCTTTAAGTAGTTGCCTCAATTCATAAAAACAAGTTATGGCCTGGAAAATGATTTTGTTCTTTTCACTTCATTGGTTCAAGAAAGCTTTCTGCCAGACCTTTCTCTCAGTGCCTTTGTCTGGATATAGCCTAGAGCAGAGCTTCTAAGGACATTTTATTTTCCCCATTCAAGTACATCATTTATTTGAATCTTCACATTGTTTCTGAAGCAGACACTCTCTCAAAGGAGATTGAAATGACTTGAGAAAGCAATGTATTTTCTTCACAGGCTTTTTCAGTAATGGTATATTAATAAGATAGGCACACAAAAGGAAAAAGCCAGTGTTTTATTAGAGTGCAGCAAAACTCTCCAATTTCTGGTTATCTTTTTATCTATGAAAATAAAGTGGTATATATTGCTTATCTGTCCATTTTGAAATCCTTTCAAATTATTTTTAAGATTTATTCATCTAAAGAATTGAAAAATGCGATCAGATGAGGACAAGAGCTAGGTCACGGTGGCTACTCACTGGTGGTGGGAGAAGCCCTTGCTCATTATCAGCATGTGCAGTAAAGAACAAAAATCTCATTCTATGACTTTGGAGATTATTTGAAAAGGTAGGTTAAAAACCACTTACAATGTTTGGATGTGAGAGGCGAAGAAGAACTCCTATCTCAGTTCTTACGATTTTTTTGTCCACCTAAAAGGCAAAATGAAAGATAGAAACTGAAAGAAACTTCCACCTTAGTAAAGTCTTCATTGTGGCAGAGAATCAGAAATAGCAATAACTGAATCAGGTAATCAGCAGAGGTTAATTCCTAAGCTTAATTCTTGTGTCTCCTTCCTCCCTTTTTTCCAGCTCCATGTCTTTTCTCTCTGCTTCAGACATAAAGCAGAACTAGTTACAAATTGTTGTGACAAGTCACAACTTGTCAGGCCCCTTGCACAGCCCCTTTCCTATAGAAAGTCATTGCTATCACCACTAAGGCACAGGTTCATCTCAACCTATTCCTCCTTCTTCTCCTCCTTTCTTTTATGGATCCCTGTCTCAAACCCATTGGAGCTGTCAATCACTTCATCTGCCTTTCTCACACAGAGGTGGGGACATAAACCAGCCAAATCAGAGTACTCTGTTCCCTGGCCATAGTGATTGGGTCAGGAATATTCACAAGATCCAAGTCATCCCAGTCAAATAATCAAGAAAGAGGTATTCTTCTTTTCTCTGAAATTGTGAGAGCAAAAGAGGATAGAGTTTACTACTATCAGTGACTATTTTTGATACCATACGGAGGCCACTTTACTGAAAATGGAGCCAATACAGGAAAAAACATTGCTGAGAGATGAAGAATGAGTACTGTTCACACAATGTAATCCACTGGATTCAGTTATGTATAAGCTAGTTTGCCTTTTGAACTTACTTATTATATGAGCCAGTGAATTTTCTTTTCTACTTAAGTTATCCAGAGTTAGTTTCTGTTGCTTGCCATTAAGGAATCCTAGTTGGTTCCCCTACTTCATCTCTATTTTTGAGACAATAGCCGTTTACTTTAGGATATTCCAAAATTAGGTTTGCTTCCCTTCTCTAGGCCAATGATTGACTCTTTTAATCACAATGACCTGGAGTTTCAGATCTCTAAAAGTCGTATATTTAGACAGAAATGTTTTAATGTCTTCCTCTTTCAACAAAATCCATCAAAGCAATATATGGATAATACTTGTACTCTTACTGTGGTCTCTGCCATCTGAGCTGTTCAGAACCCTTTGATTGGCAGAGCTCACATAGTTTTAGAACTATGCAGAGGTTTATAGCACTTCAGAGCCAAGCTCTGTGGGCACAACCAAGAGACTGTTTCAAATGGAGAATGAATTCTACCCTTTAAGTTTTATCTCCTCAGGAAGAAAGTGGGGCCCTGAGGAGAAATCCAATTCCAACTTTCAAGATGATGACAAACAACATTCATTCATTTGAGAACATTAACCAACAATAATATATTCTTTGAAAATAAAAAAGGAATAGTCAAGGGAATTTTACTAACTTTATGTGTTCTTTTGTTTGGTTGCAACATAAAAATTTTTTTTCTGGAAAATTTAATTTTGCAAGAGCCTAGAATACCTTGCTTATAGAGAATAGTCACCATTTATAAATGTCTTTAGTTTCTATCAGAAGGAAAAATACTTATAAGAAATTGTTAAAGAGTTCTCATTCCAATAAGAGATTTTTCAAGGGTCTCTTGTTTCAACACCATACATAAGAAAACATTAAATGACCATATGGTCATGCCACGGCTTTTTAAACTATAATAAAAGTTTTGGTCATTAATATGGTCAATTAGAAGGCTCAAGGTGTTTTAACATATTTTTGCTAAAGAAAACCAAATAATCAAAATTAATTCACAATACTGCAAAACGAAAATGTATTCTACTTATGTTGAGTGGATGCTAGTCTCTGCAACTCAGCATACTTGCTAAAATATTCATAAATATCCAATATAAAAATGCAGCATCAGTTAGAAATTTTGACTAAGACAAGAGGATGGAGATACGATCTGTGCATTTTAATACCTGACAACTAATATGAGGCAGTTACATATGAGGGAGGGTTCACTGTGAACAGAAAAAAACAAGTTGGTAAGAAATAACCTAACTCAAGTACCGTACATCAAATTGATAGGCTCTAGGACTTTCACAGTGAAGGAATTAAGGAAAACACACATCTGGATACACTCAATGCTCTATGACTCAAGAACTTGGGAAGCTGCTTCACCCAGACACTAAACCATAGCTACTTGGCACGATGCAAAATATGCACAATTCAAAACTTTTACAGTCACAAGTAACAAATACCCAGCTCAAACTTACTTAAGTCAAAAAGGTAACTTATTGGCACATGTAACTGAGAACTCAGAGTGAATTTGTCTTTAGACATAGCTAAATCCAAGGGCTCAGACACAATGTATTTCCTTCTCTCTCCCTCTCCCTCTCTTTTCCTCTCCGGCTCCCTCTCTCCTTTCTAAATGACAGGAAACATGACCACCAGAAGCCCCAAGCCTATATTCTTCAGTCTCATATTTCAAAGGGAAAAGAGAAAGGAGACTCTTTCCACATGTATGTATCTAAACTCAAGGTAGCATTCTCCAAGGCCTTGCTTGTTTCCTAGGCCTATAAAGGATAGTCCTGTAACTAGGAGACATATTACTGTGACAGGGCCAAGCATGGGTCATGGGCCCTCTCCTTTGACCAGAGATGAAGGAATTGGGGAGGCTTGGTTCTCCCAAACAACCGATATTGGCAGGCACTGAAGATTCCCATGCTAACTGCTTTTAATATTTGTTCCCTCCCTTTTACATTTGCATAAGGTCCTGAAGTATTACTTTCTCTGCTTATTCCATGTCCCAGACTAATCAATAAATCATTAATCAATAATTATTAATTTGGAATAAACCCTTGTCATCAGCAGATTTAATTTTCAAAAATTTGACTGTTTACTGGTAACCAAAATGTACTCTACCAAATTGCAATTTAGAATTTTTTCTAGAAATTCTTGAACCCCACACTGAAAAGCTGATGTCGGGCAGTCATGTAGCTGGTGAATGAACCTAGCAGACTACCTAGCACTTGTACATAAATTCTGCTATGTTATTCTCTACTTCTAGGCAGTAATCTTGTTAATTATTTTGATGTTACCAGTGATATAAGTTGAAGGAAAGTAAAGAAGTCTAAGGAAATGATGGCTGTAGTTAACAAGAAAGGTTGGAGTAGAGATCTGGATAAAGCAGTTCCTCAAATCTATGTGTTTTGTGGGAGAGAAGAGGAACCACTGCTTTCATCATCTTCTCCAAATGTCTGAGGCAGAGAAAAGCTAAGAATCTGATCTATTTAAAACAAGAAAAGTCTTCCACGGACCTGCAGGAGTCAAGGATCTCTGACAGTAGTCTTGAATGTATATGTAATGAACGTATAGTACAGACTAAGGGTCTAATATAGTTTTTGTGTGCTCAGTCCCATTTTAAACAATGTGGGACATATGAAAAAACAAACAAACAAAATATGGTCTTTTCCAGAGGAAGACTATAATCTAATTTGGGGCATAAGAATCCTCTACATAATGCCATCAGAAGATAGAAGGATGTAAATTGCAAGCAAGTTTCATTTTAAAAGTTCCATTGTTCTGTGCAAGATCATTTTTCTATAAGTTGAAATATTGCTAACATTCAAACAGCAAGCTTACTCTAAAACACTTGAAGTTACTAACCATTTAAAAAGTCACTCAATTGTTAATATACAATGAAGAATGATTTGTGAGAGTGTGCACAGGTGATGATAGTGTGATATGTGGGCTGCCAGCCGTCACTCAGTGATGTCAGACAGCCCAATCCAGGGAATATAGAGAGCACGATCCAGGGGTAATGGAATAATAGAAGACTCTAGAAGTTCTTTTACCTAGTGAAAAAAATCATAAATTTCATGAAAATTTGCTATGGAACAAGAAACTTTCTACTTGTATCAAATGAGAGATCTTAGAAAAAGAGAGGCATTGCTAGAACAGGCAGAGGACACTGACAGATCTCTTCCAAAGAGCTCTTGGCTCACGCTCTATTTCAGTTTCTGTGGATGCTGTTGAAGAAAATTTGGGTATAGATTATCATTATTATTTTTATTATTTTTTAAATTTTTAATTTTTTCCAGCTTTACTGAGGTATAATCAGTACACAAAAAAAACACACAATTAATGTATAGAAATTGATGAGTTTGGACATATGTATAGACTAGTGTTAGCATCACCACAATCAAGGTAATAAACATATTCGTCACCTCCAAAAGTTTCCTGTAACCCTTTGTTGAGTGTGTGTGTGTTTGTGCATAACATGAAATCTACCCTGTTAACAAATTTTTAAGTGAACAATACCTTATTGTTCACTATAGGCATTATGTTGTAGGGCAGATCTCTGGAACTTAGTCATCTTGTATAACTGTAACTTCATATCCATTGAACTACAAGTCTCCATCTCTCCCTTCACCCATTCCCTGGTAATCACAATTCTATTGTCTACTTCTATGAGTTTGACTATTTTAGATTCCTCATATAAGAGCAATCATTTAGTGAAGACAGATTATCTTTATTACTACCCTCTCTACAAGACAACAAAAATTTCTTCGCTAATACAAAATAAATATATTTTTCATTATTGCGTGATGCTTTAAAAAAATTTTAAGGACGTGAGTGTCTCTAAATTAAGATTGTTAGCAATCAAATCTATTTTTCTCACTACACATTTAGCGCTTATGTAATATAAGGTTTTACCCCTTGTTTTCATGTATTTCTGATAAATATAAAATAACAGCCAGTGGGCTCCTTTAATTTTTTCACATGATATGTTAATAGTAAACAAAAGCTTTTTTAATACAAATAAAAATTTTAAACATTTATTCTTTACCATATTACATCACACATGTTAAATATTAGAATGCCTTCAAATTTTCTTTCAAAACTTTTTCAGTTGAGAGTTAAGTTAACGTTAACTCTAGAAATATTCAGAACAGACCAGATTGTTTGGACTAGCAACGTTCTAATGTAGTTATTTGTTTGAATTCAGAATTAACTTTTCTTTAAAGGTAATTTTGAAAAGGGTAATTATTTTTCCAATATACTCCAGATAACTGGTTCTCAAAATGTGATCTGAGGGCCTTTCGGGGTCCCTG